TATTTGGGGGTAGTGGGCGAAGAATGTGTAGGAGCTGAGCGTGAGGTCAGATTTGTGTGGTGTGTAGGTTGGAGGGGGGTTCAACGTTGGGGGGTGATGTTGTCTGTTGGGCATAGGGGGGGGTGCGGGGGGGGATGAGATGGGGGGCGGTTGTGACGGGGTGGGCGAGGTGGTGCTGGGGTGGGGACCGGGGGCGAGAGGAGGGTGGTGGTGGTAGGGTGCGGTAAGTAGTTGGGGGGCGTCTGGAATGCGGGAGTTCCAAAAAGAACCCCCCAACCAAGCCCCGGTTGTGTGGAAGGGGCCCTTGTTTCCCCCTTTACATGGGGACAAGGGGACTTTGGGGGGGAGCCCGTGTAACCAAATTTTGTATTTAGGGCTGTGGCCCGGTTTTGGTTCGGGGGGGGGGCACTTGTTGTCCCCTTCCCTTTCCTGATCTGCTGGGCTGCTGCTCGGATGGAATTGGTATGGGAAATTTGGGGGGGGGGGGGGCTATCACACTATTTTTTTTTTACATTTTGGCATGGGGGGTTCCCCCTTAATCCCATACCGATCAAAAGGCTTGGTTGATGGGAGGGGGGGGCCCCACACCGTTTTTTTTAATTTTTTAAATTTTTGGGCAATCTGACAATTCTTTTTTTCCCTTCAGCTGTCGGTGGGGAACCCCCTGACACCGGAGAGGTGAATGAAAGTTCACTACTAAAATACGCGTGATTTCATCTAGAACTCCGGGATTTTTGTCCCGACGGGATTCACCCAGATGATAGGGGATAAACCTAGTTAAATTTCTTTTTTAAGTTCGCTTAAAATTTTGGTTTTTTTTTCCTCCCAAATGAAGGGGTTTCCCCCTTTTCTATTATTATATACTTGTTTCTTTTAACCACCTCCCGTCGGGGATTGATAAAAAGGCCCGGGAAGGGGGCGGGATAATTATGGGGCCCTCGGGGAAGTGTCGAGGTGGGTGGAGGAAACCAAGGACGGGGTCGGGGTGGGTGGAGGATGGAACCAAGGGCGGTGCCGGGGTGGGGGGGATGGAACCAAGGGGCAGTGGGGGGAGGGGGGTGGATGTGGAACCAGGGAATGTCGGAGGTGGGGGATGATAACCCCAAAGGGGCAGTGCTGGAGGTGGGTGGTGTGGAACCGGGACGTGCTCGGAGGTGGGTGGAGGATGGGAAACCCAAAGGGGCGGTGCTCGGAGGTGGGTGGGGATGGGGCCAAGGGACGGTGTCGGAGGTGGGGGAGGAAAGGAACCAAGGGACAGGCTTGGAGGTGGGGGATGATGGAACCCGGGACAGTGCTGGGGGTGGGTGGATGATGGAACAAAAGGGGCCCTGTCGGAGGTGAATGGTGTTTGGAAAGAAGGGACGTGTGGAGGTGGGTGGGATGATGGAACCAAAGGGGCGTGCTTGGAGGTTGGTGGGGATGGAACCCGGGAGGTGCCGGAGGTGGGTGGATGATGGAACAGGGGAAAAATGCTCGGAGGTGGGTGGATGATGGAAACCCAAGGGGGCAGTGCTCAGAGGTGGGTGGAGGGGGTGGAACCAAGGGACAGTGTCGGAGGTGGGTGGAGGATGGAACCAAGGGACGGTGTCGGAGGTTGGGGGGGGGATGGGAACCAAGGGACGGTGCTCGGAGGTGGGGTGGAGGGTGGAACCCAAGGGGCAGTGCTCGGAGGTGGGTGTGGGGAAAGGAACCAAGGGACAGTGCCGGAGGGGGTAGGGGATGTAACCCAAAGGAAAAGGTGCTCAGAGGTGGGTAGGGGATGGGGACAAGGGGGGGACTTGGAAAAGGGGGGGTACCCGCACCTTTCTCTGAGAAATAAAAACCCCGGCTCTCCTAAAACCAATTTTAAAAAATGCAATAAAATCCAGGGCTTACATGTGCGACCCCAACAGTGGGCAAACCCACACAATGTCAGAACCCCCCGATGCAGGGGGTTTTTTTACCCCAAAAGGGAACCAAGGCATTTCCTGGGTGCTTTTTTCAGGGGGGCAGCAGCATTTTTCAGGGGGGCAGCGTGGCCCCCAAAAAGGGGGGCAAAGCAGCATGGGGGCCAGGTGGGGCCTGAGAGGGTGTGGGTGCTTGATGCGTTGCAGAGCCTGCTCTTTTCCGGGGATGTCGGAGTGTGAAAGGGCGGCGTTTCTCTCTCGCCCGGGGGGTTGCCCGTGTATGAGGGGCGTGCAGTGGGAAGGCTCTCTTTGTGGGGGGGGAGAGGGGTGTTGTCGGCTAGGGTCTTCCCTGGGGGGGGCGATTTTTGTGTTGCCTAGGGCAGCACGAAACCTAAATACACCCCCTGTCCACAGTGCATAGGTCCTTAAAACCCGAAAGACACTTGCGGGCACATGCAAGTGCCTCCCTTTTTAAAAATGGCTGCACAGAAAGGGGGCAGGGGAGCCCGTCATTTTGCACTTTTGTTCCGCTTTTTAGAAAAAATTAGACAATGAGATCCATAAGAAAGCAAAAAATCTGCTTTTGGAACCAACCCCGACGACTCCCCCAGAATCGGCGAACGTTGTCGTGAAATGGTCTTTTCTGGGCTTGTTATCCAGAGATTCCGTGTTTCCCTTGCAGCGGACTCTGAGAGTTACAGGAATACAACACAAATTTTGGGCGCTTTCGGGGTATGTCCCCCTTTTTCAAAGTCCAAACAGTCTATTCAAATCACAAAGTTTAAGAGAATGTTAGAAGGGTTGAGAAAAAAAAAAAAAGGTACAGATAGTTCATCAAAAGGGGGGGGGGAGGGGGATTCTACACTCACACAGAGGGGGCAAGCTTAGCTAATAGATAGTCTAAAAAATGTCAGATAATGGTTGGGAACCCCGTCCAAAATTAAGGCCTTATCTCTTGTGTCAAATAGAATTTCATTCTTAGTTCAAATGTTTTTTTTTCCGGATGGATTTGAATTTTTTTTCGAACTAAAAAATTGAGGTCTCCCATTGGTGGTTGGTTGTGTGAAATTTTGGGGTCCCAAGGTGTGCAGAGGTCATCTTCTTTATGTTCCTTGATGGTATGTCTGTGCGATTCATCCTTGTTTGCCCCTTCTGCCTGTTTCACCCAAATAACAGTCTGCACTAAAAGGTCTTCAATATTTCCAATCATACGCTTTCCCCCCAGTAAAGTTTGTGTACCTCTCCGTGCAGAAAATGCAGCAAAGGCTCTTATTTGGTGAAACAGGACAGAAAATGAAAAAAAGGAGAATCTGCACAGACTTTTCCCTCATGGAACATAAAGAAAATGCCCCTTTTCACCCGTAGGACACCATTTCACAACCCGGGCCACACAATGGAAGACCCAATGTTTTGTTTGAAAGGAAAATTCAAATCCCCCAGGAAAGAAAAAAATTTGAAATAAGAGTGATAATTCTATTTGACACAAAAAAATAACGGCCTTAACTTGGACATGGGATTCCTCAAACATTATCCCAAGTTTTTGACTATCATTAGCTGAAGTTGACCCCCTCTGTGTGAGTGTTTTGTATCCCCCCCCCCCCTCGTTTTGATGTATCTTATCGTGCCTTTTTTTTTTTCTAATCCTTCTAACTTTGCTTAAACTTTGTGATTTGTAATAGTACTGCTTGGGCTTTGAAGAAGGGGACATACCCCGAAAGCTTGTCCCCAAATTGTTGTTAGTGCAAATAAAAAAGTATCACGGCAGGACTCCAATTGTTTCTGTTGCAAATGCACTTATACATCAAAAACCTCAAGCAAAGAATTCAGGAATTTTTATGCGATGAATCGGCGGATCATACACATGTGACGACGATTGCTCCCTTGTTGTCTTTTTATAGGGCCCACCCTCAGGCTGAGTGTCAACCAACAAAGGAATCCATCTTGCTGAATTATTGAATGTTTTCTTTGTGGCGTTTCAGGCGGATTGTATTTGTGTACCGGTCCGTCTTTCCCTGTGCGAACAGATGAGAGCCGGTCCTTTATGTAGCAGTTCTGGGCTCCCGCCCCCTCCCTCATGCTTCCACGCAATTTTTTCACCTACAAACCTTGGGGGTCTCTTTTTTATTTGTGAAAAAAATCCCGCCTTTGCGAAAGAGGAAAAATTGCAAAGTTGGTGGGGCCGGATTTGGGCGGGGGGGAATATCCGGCTCTTACCACCAAACAATGCAGAGCCGGTGATTCTCTTGCTTGGGCCGCTCGCACACTGAGAGGCGTAGGAGTTTATGTTTGTAGAGAGAGCAATGTAAAATTGCGACAATGGGACTGGAAAGTATGGAAGGAATTACAATAACCCCAAGGAGAGGATAATATGTCTTCTTACAAGTTGCTTTGTCCACTCGAGCCAAGCAACACGCTCAGCACATCAATGAGCGGCAGCTGGAAAGAATGCTGTGCTAGTTGGCACAAAATTTGGTTTGAAATAATCGTGATAGTCTGCTGGCTACAGAGCACAAAACTAGGAGCGTTCTGTAAAATTTTATGGGGGTTTCGTCAAGGAGAAATTCTGGGGGAAAGATGCTAGAGATGTTACCACTTGGCCAAACTCATTGTCATTGTTATCCATTATTAGTAAGAAAAGTTGGCTTTGTGCCCTTCGCTAGTTTGTTTACTCAGCCGATGGCTAAGCTCCCCAATGCCACCCCATGTCCTATAGGAGAGCCTTTACTGACCAGTGTTAGTGTTTGGGCAACTACCCCAGACCCAGGGAACACATGTGCCAATATGCAGGCCAGGACTTCCACCAGTACCCCACATGGCACTCTGCATTGCGGTGTATATTGATGCGCACACCCATTCCAGAACTGGCCCAAACTGTGAATTTTGCCAAATCAGCAGTGACCTAATTGTCCACACATACATGGTCTAGGACAACCATTCTCAACTAGGGTTCCTCCAGAAGTTGTAAGGGGATCCTTGAGCGTGGGTAATTGACCTCCCATCTGATGGTGCCTTCATAGATCCAGGTCCATTATCGCTTGACAGAGCCAGTGGCATGACAAAATGTAAGTGTCTATTACGGTGATATTCTTAATATCACTGTAATGGTGGCATTTCCCACTGACCCCAATGTAAGGGACATTCTTCCACTGACACCCAATGTAAGGGACATTTCTTCCCACTGACCCCCAATGTAAGGGACATTTTCCAATGATCACCAATGTAAGGGACATTGTTCCCACTGACCCCCAATGTAAGGGACATTCTTCCACTGGACCCCCAATGTAAGGGACATTCTTCCCACTGTCCCCTCCCCAAAGTAAGGGACATTCTTCCCAATGACCCCAATGTAAGAAGCAATATCTTCCCAAATGACCACCAATGTAAGGGACTTCCTCCCACTGATCACCATGTAAGGGACATTCTTCCCAACTGACCACCAATGTAAGGGACATTCCTCCCATGAACTCACCAATGTAAGGGACGTTCTTCCCCTGACCCCCAATGTTTAAAGGGACTTCTTCACACTGTCCCCAATTGTAAGGGACATGTCTTCCCACTGATCACCAATGTAAGGGACATTCTTCCCACTGCCCCCAATGTAAGGGACATTCTTCCACTGACCAACAATGTAGAGGCATTCTTCCCACTGACCCCAATGTAAGGACATTCGTCCCACGACCACCAATGTAAGGGACATTTTGTCCCATTGACACCCCAATGTAAGGGAACTTTGTCCCATTGACCCCCAATGTAAGGGGGGGTTCTTATTTCTGACCACTGTTAAAAAGGGCATTTTCTTAATAATCTCCCAATGGACTAATCCTAGCAGGGGTGTACGAGGGTCTTTGTGGTTGGTAGTAATGGCGTCAAGAGCACAGGTCCCTACTCCTGCTTCTGTCCTTCAAGAACACCTCCTCCTGAGGCCAGTATGACCTTCCCCGGTTGTTGACCTTTTATATCCCAAAGAAGGAATATCAACACATTGAAGAAGAATTGCTGAACTTTACTGATGGATTTCAGGGAATGGCATAACAGTTTCATCACATCTACAGTCAGGTCCAAAATATTGGGACATCGACACAATTCTAACATTTTTGGCTCTATTACCCCCACAATAGATTTGAAATGAAACTAACAAGATGTGCTTTAACTGCAAGACTGTCAGCTTTAATTTGAGGGTATTTTCATCCAATCAGGTGAACGGTGTAGGAATTACAATAGTTTGCATATGTGCCTCCCACTTGTTAAGGGACCAAAGTAAATGGGGCGAATAATAATTTATAAATCAACTTTCACTTTTTTTAAAACTTGGTTGCAAAAACCTTTGCAGTCAATTTTCAGCCCGAAGTGTGGAACGAAGACTCAGCAGC